ATATTTTATTATTAATTCTCTACCTTAAATCATGCCCAAATCTTATTAGTAGTATTTTTGAAAAAAGGAATAATACAAATGTGATTAACTCTCATTTATTTAAAAAATAATATTAGAAAAAAGTTTTACTGTCACTTAATTGATCATTTCTAAGCATAATTTACTCTAAATATGATATTGCTATTACTTTAATTTGATTCTTATTAATAATATAATCTTTAGTCAATTAACCATTAAAAATTTTTTGAATTATTTATCATAATTATTTCCAACCTCCCATATATATAAATTCTATAATGCATTTGGTAAAGTTTTGTTTTTGCATATCTACTCTCCATAATTTTTCCTAGGAGTGTGGCTACTTAGAATGTTTTTTTTTTTTTTATCTTTTTCTTTATTTTTTTTCTTTTGTTTTGTTATATACAGATTTTTTACTTTGTGTAGTTGTAAAAAATTTGCTAAGTGACTTAGCTGCTTTTAGGTTTCATATGTTTGTATTCTTTTTAAATATAAAGTTTTTTATTGGTGGAACAATAATTCTTTTTAAGAAGTCTATTTTTAAGAAGTGTTTAACTTATGAATATGATTTGATATATTTTTATATTAAAAGATTATTCAGCTTAAATTAATTATATTTACTCCCTTTTATATATTCAATATTCTTATATTTGCCTTTAATTTGATCACTACAAATAAGAATCTACTAAATGATCTAAAAATTAGAATGTGGGTTTGAAGATATACACTTCACTATTTCTTCTTGATTTCCTCTCTCTCTCTCTCTCTCTCTCTTTTTTTTTAAATGCTCCTTTTATTTATTTAGCAAGTCTTCATTCAGCTTTATATTTAGATAAAATTTACCCTTTTTTCCATTTAATTATGCTAGATATTTGCAATGAAAATGTCCAACAGATTTATTTTATTTCGTATATACAAAATTTGTATTTTATTAAGAAAACCATTTGTGTATATAATTATATACATAATATATCATATAAATCACAAATTAGTGTAAATATAAAATTTGTATTTTTTATTAAAGAAGATGTATATTTATATATATAATTATATACATGAAAAAATTTGTATATCGCACAGACTACAAATTAATTAACATAAGATTCTTGCTTCTGTATGTAATGATTATGAGACCCAATATAGTTAATAAACTAAACAAAAGCTAAAGAATTTCTTTAAGTATATCAATTTCAAATTATGCATCATTGTATAATGCAGGGATAAAGCGTGGCTTATACCTAACTTGACATAATACATAAAGGATCACTATATCTTTTCTCTTTTACCCTTTCCCACTATATTAGTTAGTCCTTACAATTGGATTTAACCATGCTTTAAGTCCATTGAACTTATCTAAATGCACACCAAATTCTCAATCAACTTGTATGAACAGCTGATATATATATATATATATATATATATATATACCATAGAAACAATGATTTGGGATTTACTCCGATTTTAATTAATGTTTTGGGATTTAGTTTGCTCTCAACTTAGTTATGAAAATGCACATCCTGCAGCAATGGAAATATCTATGTAAAACAAAATATCCAACAATCTAACTACAAACAAGATTTTCCGTTATTTCCTTCTGATTGGCAACTATGACGATGATGCTATGGTAAAATTCTTACCCACTTGCTCAATTCAATCAAAATTAAACCTTTTTTTACAAGTCACTCCAAACTCTTATGGTTGAAGACAGAGAATTAAAGTAAGCAAAACAGACAGCACAAAACAAAACCGAGATCAACTTTCGACTTTCGTCCCTTTTAAATACATATGAAAACTCTCAAACTCTTGTCTCAGACCAAAGCAATCCAAAACCCAAAATCTCCCTTTAGATATGGAATTAAGCCCATCCTTCATTGCCAAGAAGCTTTCAAACTTGGCTCGTCTAAGTTTCTTCATGATACGAAAAGGTTTCTCGAAGAGCAAGCTCGTGCTTGACGTTCTCAAATTCTTAATGAAACGTTGGAAGATCATCGAAAAAGCCTTAAACGAACTCATGATCACCAATCATGCTTCGCTGAGTTTTAGGTCACGTGACGTGCACCTGTCGTTCGTATCCCCGGTGGAGTACGAGTTCAGGTGCAGCACCAGCCCCACGTATCAACCTTACATTCCCTGCCATGCCAGCAAGCGCAAATCCCGTTATCCTTACGCGCTCCCTCGCATGCCGGACGGCATGGTTTTTGGAGCAATGGCTTGTAGAGATGCGTGTGATTACGATTCGCCGCTAGTGGTACCAAAAGGACGGAGATTGCAGATTAGGGAGTCGCCATTCGTGTCAAAGGATGACGATGAAGACTACCGCGTGGACGAAGCGACTGAGGAGTTTATTTAGAGGTTTTATAAGCAGCTGAGGTTGCAGAAATGGTCGACTGTCCTGGAAGCAGCCGATCAGTATGGCTAAAGTAATTCCCTTCCAAGTTTGGACATAAATTCGTTTAAAGTTTTTCTGTTGACTTTGATCTTTAACATTTCTGCAGCTTTCTTTAACTGTAGGTTAAATCCACTTGAAGACAGAGGCAGGGCTCTTGACGACAAAATTGTTCTTTTCCTGTTTTCCTTTTCTTTCTTTCTTTCGTGCCCTGCTCTTTTTTTTTTTCTTCCCTGGTTTTGATTCATGGCTCTCAACAGTCAGGACAAAGGCCTGCTTTTCCATGTATAGAAAACTAATAAGTAATGAATATAATTCCGATTTGATTTAGTTTTTGGTAGTGGAAATTAATAAATTGTTTATATTCTCCTTAAAACTTTTTTGGTTCTGAAATTCTTTATTACAAGTGAGAATACTCTTCTCGTAATCTATAACTCTTTTAAGTTTGCTTGATAGAAGAAATTGTTCATAAAGACTTTTTTTTTTTATTTTTAAATAAAATTGTTCATAAAGACTTCAATACTACTTCAATAGCCATATATACACTACTTTTTATCTAGCTTTTTACATACTATAGCTCTATTTATTGATCGTAATCTATTTATCAATTTAATGTTAGACTTTTGTTTTTCTTTAATAATTTTGAATGAAAAATTTTACAAACTTAAGTTAGAAAATTTATCTATGTATTTACCCATTTATTTTTGTAACTTTTTAAATAGATTAGTTTAAGCAGTTTTATTTTCGATAGTTTATAAAAAAGATATATTTTCACGATTTTTTAACAAATTTAAACTCATGCAATAAAAAAAGGCATATTTTTACGCTTGAGCCAACCTCAATTAATATTTATTTTCATGACTAATTAAGCTAAACTAGTTAACCAAGAGTTAGGACTCGGCTTGTCATGGCGGAGGAGATCCTAGAACCTTACTAGTGGGCTAATAGAATGTTGAGTCAAGAGCCTGAGCCGAAATCATTAGACCCATAGCTGTCCTTGGTGGGTTTCCAGAGTCTGGTCTTTTAAGTGGCAAGGTGTTTAATTTTGGTAACTTCCTGGTCTGGGTTTATAGCAAAAAACATAATGGGCCAGACTCTGCTATAGGGGAGATTTGGGTGAAGTAATCATTTTCTAATACCCAAAAGAAAAAAGGCATGACCGCCAATGGTTGGCTGAAACATCGCCTGTGGGGACTCGGGAAAGGAGCTTTGCTAGCTTGGAATAAAGCTTGGAGAACTTGGTGATAAGAAGAACATACTATGGAGATGCAATTATGCCCTCTGCTGTTTAAACGTTGCTGCTGAGACTCGATTCTAAGTTGATTCAGAATTTCTAAAGCCCTCGCCAGTGGCATATTATACTGTGAGTCAATACTTCTTCCCCTAGTTTCTAATTTCGTTATGTACAACTACAAACTGAAATAATTTTCTGATCTTCTTGTTTCTGATCATTAGGAGGAAAAAGATACTAATATCTAGGCTGTTGGCTACCTTTTGAACCTGTAAAAGTAACACCATATTTGCAGACAAATTGAGAGGTTTTTTATCAGCCGGAATTTGTGAAATCCTTCCAGGTTTACAAGCTTCCTCTGCCGAGCATCTGGTGTCATGTACCATCTTGACTGCTTTGTTGTACAATTTTAAGCATGCAACCAACGAAAGTGTAACGTTTTCCAACATTATATTTCTATAAATTAATACTTACTAATCAAATTCAATTATTCTTTTTAACCTTTTAAATACAAACTTAGGTTGGCAATACATTCCACGTTTTCCATCTACACACGTTTACAAATAAATTGATCCCGTAGATTGATTTTTAGATTGGTTAGTATGCATTGGAATTAATATTTAAAGATTATAAGTTTGAAAAGAGTTTAAGTGTGTAGTGTTTTTTTTTTTTTTAAAAATTAAGTATTAGGATATGATAGATTAGGAAATTAAAAAAAAGGGTGAATTTTAATTTATATTGTTTAATTAATTGTATTCAATTTTTACGAAGAATACATGAAAAGTGAATAAAAAAAAGAGATGTTATTTCCTATCATAATAATTTTTTATTGTATAATGTAGTTAGGTACAATCTTCTATAGTATTTGGGGTGCAATTAAATCCAAAGGCATCTTTAATCAAAAAAGTTAAAATTAGATTAAAGGGTAAAAAATAATTTTGAATTATAATTCAATAATTATTGAAGTCTTTTAGTATTTTATTATAAATAATTAAGTTTTTAATTTTTTATTTTAATTCAAATAAATTGTTAAATAACAAAATTTATTTTTGTGTCAAAATTTAATCAATCAATTATTCAACTATAATTAATTAAATCCTTAAAAATCTTAAGAGAAAGTGTGTGAAGAAAATAAAAAAGAAAAAAATATTTTATTTAAGTTTTATATTTATTAATTATATCATGTGTCAAATTTTAATATATTTTATTAATATGAGATAAATTTTTATTAATTTTAACAATAAATTAAAAATATTAATTTTTTATAAAAAAAAATTTTAGTTGAATACAAATAAAAATTGAAAGTTAACTGATTATAACAAAAACATGATTTTTTTTAACCCTTTAGCCTTAAAATTAAAATTCAAAATTAATAATAGGGCAAAAAATCAAAGAGCATTGTGTCTCTGTCACATCTCTCTCTGGTACAATAGAGGAAGAGAATGCCCTTTTTTCCGTTTCCCTCCACAGATCTCCAAAATTCCCACTGACCCAACCCTAATTTCGTCCCTATCTGTACAGATTAAATAAAAACCCCCAAATCTCTCTCTCTCTCTCTCTCTCTCTCTAATCTCTAGTTTTTTGGGGGGTTTAGCCCTATCTCTCAAAGCCAGCGATCGAAATATATGATTCTAGAACCTTCATGAATCTTCACCAAGCTACATCCCTTCATGGACGAGCGTAATCCCTACGATGCCTGAGCTGCGTAGCCACGCTCGCAGAAATCGGGCCTTCTTCAACCCTAACCCGAATCCAAACCCGATTGATATTCTCCCCCAACCTGATTCCAACGTCAAAAAGAACAAGTTCACTGTTCGCACTCGCCAGAGGAGAACCGCACAGAACAGGAAACAGAAAAACGCGATCGTTGCTGCCGTTGATGATAACAAGCTTAACAACAACGATAACAAAAGCAATAATATCGTGAGCGGTGCTGGTTTTGAAACAACACCGTCTGGAAGAAAGGAAGACGAAGATATTAAAGAGGTTAGGGTTTTGAGAGAAGAGGTTGCCGAGAAGAAGATGGACGAGTACGATAGTGGCGGCCGTAGCGGTGATAAAGGCCCCGGGGCTGAAGATGAGGGAAGCACAGCGCCGCTTCCCGAGAAGGTTTTTTTTATTTTATTTTATGGACTTTTTTTAATTTTATTTACGTAAGATTTCTGTTTTTGGATTTCCGATTTTAGTTTTATTTTTTAAATTTTGTTATCAACGAATCCGTATAAGGGACAGTCAAATAGTTTTGATTATGAAGATTTATTGATTTTCTCTTACAGTTTTCGCCTAATTTTTTTTTGCTTTTTTTTGGGGGGGGGGGGTCATTTGACTGTTGTATTGGCTGCCGCTTCAAACTTCCTTGCCAGTAGCCTTTTAGAACAAGTTTTGACTTTGTAGGATTGCTCCTAGTATTAGGCTCCATTGAACACAATTATCAATATGAAAAAAAATCAGATAATGTGGAGACTGGCATTTTTCAATGTGTAATGTAATATATTAGTCTGGGGAAAGGAGAATGGATTCTTATTCATTCTTTTTGTTGGAACAGGTTCAGGTAGGTGGTTCCCCAACGTACAGAATAGAAAGAAAACTGGGGAAAGGAGGCTTTGGACAAGTGTATGTTGGTCGACGAATTGGCGCTACTGGTCCAGGAGCTGTAGAGGTACATAATTATTTTATAGTGGATTCCATTGCATACACTAATAGTTCATTTCTGCAAAGCGCTAAACTTGTTATGTTTGAATTTTAGGTAGCTTTAAAATTTGAGCATAGAAGCAGCAAAGGATGTAATTATGGGCCACCATATGAGTGGCAAGTTTACAAGTGAGTAAATGTTGTTATATTTGCTTGCAGCTTCATTAACTAGGGCTTTATGTTATTTTAGATTTTAACTATGACTTTCAATGCTCTTTGTTCAGTGCACTTGGTGGTAGCCATGGGGTGCCTCGAGTTCATTACAAGGGCCGGCAAGGTGACTACTATGTTATGGTAAGCATTTGCTTTAATGCAGATACTAAATTTTGTGATATATATATATGTGTGTGTGTGTGTGACTCTGAGTTGTTGGTTGCAATGTTTTTAACAGGTTATGGATATGCTTGGACCTAGCTTATGGGATGTTTGGAATAATAACTCACACACGTATGTTCTTTGTGAAGTTACGTGGTGGATTTTGCTTAATTTATTCCTGGATTGACCATTTAATGGTAGCTTTATATTTTCAATTACAGGATGTCCATTGAAATGGTTGCATGTATTGCCATTGAGGCCATCTCAATCTTAGAGAAGATGCACTCCAGAGGGTGATACATTTTTCTGTTTTATCTATGATTTGTTTTTCTTTTGGTTTTAAGATATGGCAAGAGGATTTTTATTGTTAAGAAACTTGATGTGCTTGGATTGATAATTGTTGATAATCTGTCTACTGAATTGAGGTCCCTATTATTGGTTTTGGGTGGAAAGGATTACGATTCTTCCTGCCAAATAAATGTTTTTTTGGTCATTGGAACTCATTTGGTGCTATAATCCTGTTGCTTCTATATTTTGCAGATATGTGCATGGGGATGTGAAACCTGAGAATTTCTTGCTTGGTCCTCCAGGAACTCCAGATGAGAAAAAACTTTTTCTTGTTGACCTAGGATTAGGTAAGCTCTAGATTTTTTTTTATTAAGATCTATTTTGTATGCAGATCCAAATCATTTCTGACAGTTCTGTTTCTATTTTGACTTAACAGCAACCAGGTGGCGAGATAGTTCAAGTGGTCTACATGTTGAGTATGACCAACGTCCAGATGTTTTCAGGTAAAATAAAAGATTGTTAACCATTACCTTTGCATGCTTTTCTGTTCCTTATTGTGGTGGTGCAGAAATTAGATTTGCTTATCTATCTTATAAGCCTGGGGTTCTTTTTCCTTTCCTATTTTTGAGGTTATGATGATCAGTTATTAATTATTCCTGTACTGCAGGGGAACTGTACGGTATGCTAGTGCGCATGCTCATCTCGGTAGAACTGGTAGCAGAAGAGATGATCTAGAGTCTCTGGCTTACACACTCATTTTCCTCCTCCGTGGTCGATTACCTTGGCAAGGATATCAGGTTTGCATTTCCTTAATATAAATTTCGGTATGTTCTTACTTATTATCTTTTACCTTTCTGATGCAAGTGGTTATTTTAGGGTGAAAATAAAGGCTTTCTTGTTTGTAAGAAGAAGATGGCCACTTCCCCAGAAACTTTGTGTTGCTTTTGCCCTGCACCTTTCAGACAGTTTGTTGAGTATGTGGTGAATTTGAAGTTTGATGAGGAACCAAATTATGCAAAATATATCTCTCTTTTTGATGGGATTGTTGGTCCAAATCCAGATATTAGGCCAATAAATACTGATGGTGCTCAGAAGGTACTTTTGGCTTCTTGCGTCTACATTATTTGGTTGACTTGTCATTGAGAAAGCAGTGTATCTTAGTTGTTGGAATTCATTTAACGTATATTTTTTTTTGTCTTGAAGCTTATATATCAAGTAGGGCAAAAGAGAGGACGGTTAACAATGGAGGAGGAAGAGGATGAACAGCCAAAGAAGAAGGTTCGAATGGGAATGCCTGCAACGCAATGGATTAGTGTGTATAATGCTCGTAGGCCTATGAAGCAACGGTATCTATCTTAAAATCACCAACAAACTTTTCAAGTTCATGAATAAGAGCAGATGTTGATTTCAATTTCATGTTGTAGATATCATTATAATGTGGCAGATGTGAGGCTTCCCCAACATATTGAGAAAGGTAATGAAGATGGGTTATTTATCAGCAGTGTGGCTTCTTGGTCAAACCTATGGGCCCTTATTATGGATGCTGGCACTGGTTTCACTGCTCAAGTTTATGAGCTCTCACCATACTTTCTTCATAAGGTTGATTCTATTCCTTTTGATTCTGAGGCCTTAATCTTTTGCAAGTCTGCTGTATTACATATTCCATGTTAGTTGTATGCTGATTTGATATTTGCGCTTAGCTATGTATGTCCAACATAGTTGTAAATAGTTCTTAATGTGTGGTTTAGCACAAATTTTAATCTACCAATTTTTTTACTTTCTGAAGGAATGGATTATGGAGCAATGGGAAAAGAATTACTATATCAGTGCAATTGCAGGAGCTAATAATGGGAGTTCATTAGTCGTAATGTCTAAGGGTTAGTTTAGCTGTACTTAAATTATCTAAAAAGAAATTACAAATCTTATATTTATATGGTATCTTATTTCTATTGCTTTATTGAATGTAGGGACACAATATTTGCAGCAATCCTACAAAGTTAGTGATTCATTTCCCTTTAAGTGGATCAACAAAAAGTGGAGGGAGGGTTTTTATGTGACTGCCATGGCCGCTGCTGGAAGCAGATGGGCAATTGTTATGTCACGTGGTGCTCCATTTTCTGACCAGGTTTTTGTTGATTTCAAGAATATCTGTTCAATGGCACTCTGTTATTGTGGTAAATGAAAAGCTTACGGCCTGACAATACCCTTTTTTGGTGCTCTTGCAGGTTGTAGAATTAGATTTTCTCTATCCAAGTGAAGGTATTCATCGGAGGTGGGATAGTGGCTACCGCATCACTTCAACTGCTGCAACATGGGATCAAGCTGCTTTTGTTCTTAGTGTTCCAAGAAGAAAACCCGCAGATGAAACTCAGGAGACCCTTCGAACTTCTGCTTTTCCTAGTACTCATGTGAAGGTATTTCATTCAACTTTAATCAATAGCTTAATTCATCCTTTTTTCCTAAAAGAGTACATGTTACATAGTGCTTTTTTCTCCAGGAGAAATGGGCAAAGAATCTCTACATTGCATCAGTTTGTTATGGTCGAACTGTTTCATGAACCGTCAAAGTTTTGTTCAGATGCCACTCATTTTATTTGATCGTGCATTTCTATGGCAAGAGACGGCTCTACTGTTTCATTTTTAGGGAACTAAGCTCTTTAGCCTGATTGATTGGTCGCAGCATTTGGGAGTTGATATATGCGAAATTCTACTATATTGTCACCATCATGTAGCATCTATTCAAACACCTGTGCTCTGTCATTCAATCAAGTCAAAATATTTATGAGCCAATTTCAGATCTTTACTCCCATTGGATGCGGATGTTCTTACCTTGTATAGTTTTGAAATCATAATTTCTTGGTTGAAGGCAAGTGCACAGGTTAAGTTTTAATTGTTGATGGTGTCTGAGGAACGTGCAAATGATGATTTTATGCTGGACTATAGATGCTTTGAGTCATTCAATCTGTACTATTTCTAGCCTTGTTTTCTGGACTAGAAGATCATTATGATCTTTCACCCTTTCACTTCTGGAATGTCTGATTTGACCCTAAAGAAGAGAAGGTATTACTTATTTTGTATATTTTGAAGCAACGGTATGTAATGATATATCGTTATTAACTTTTGTGCTATAGTTGATGCTTATATTTTCATTTCCCTGAAAGCTAATCCAGTGTATGCGGCACATGATCCATTTGAATATCCTGTGGATGGTTGGAGTAACACAAGCACACCAACAAATGCCTTGTCCTTTTGCCAAACTCCCCATTTTCCCAAATTATTTTCGGTAGATGTTTTCATCCCATTATTTTTCTTTTCCTAAGTGGAGAGTTTATGCTTTTGTTTTGACTAGGTGCATGATAGAGGTGATATATCTATTTCCAAAATGTTTTATTGTATTCATTGTGGACAAGCATTTGAATAATTGAAGTTTTGATATTTTAATGTACCAAATTTTTTGTGCTCTACTAGCTTTTGAATCCCTGCCTGGTAAATTTGTCATAGTTTGCTGATGCAGTCTGATAATGCCATTTGTAATTTAGCTCACAGTTTGATCCTTTTATGCTGTCTTGATGCTGTACTTTGGAGTTTAGACTTTAGAGTGGTGTTAAGGCTTCTAAATGTAAGCCTATGAGATGCTTTTGTATCATTAACGGTGCTCAAAATCACAGCAGCGGAAACGTGGAAGAGGTCCTTTTATACATGCCTAAAAGTTTTTGCTGAGGAACTGCTATGAGACCAACCAATTTTGATTTGGTAAGGAACTTTTGCTGGTTAACTTGATGCATGGTTTTAAGTTGTGAAACTAATTGAACTCCTTGCTGCTGCCGTTTTGTGTGCATATTGGTCATTCTTTGTATTTGCAATGTTTTGCCATATATTTTTGAGGTACAGCTTCAGGTTGATTCATCTTTTAATGTTTCAACTATCTGTTTTTCCTGCCTCTGAATCGGTTAATTTGCAATGTTTTGCCATATATTTTTGACGTACAGCTTCAGGTTGATTCATCTTTGAATGTTTCAACTATCTGTTTTTCCTGCCTCTGAATCGGTTATCATATCTAATGGGGAGTACCTAATGAATTCTTGGCCGTAACTAATTTTGCCTACTGTGATTGCAACTGGATGTTATACAGAAATACAAGCATCTACCAACTCTTTGTGATGCTTGGGGCACTACTATTTTTGTTTTACCTCTGCATTCCATTATTTGTGCCGTCAAATAACTTTGAAATTTTCTAGCATGCTGGAAGTTATTGATATTGTGGTTGAAGAATCTATAATATTGGTTTGAATGTTTCCCTATAGGGTGGGGTAAAGGAGTGGAGAGTTTTGCTTTCTTGCTTTGGGACTTATCATACAATAAAGCAATGTGGTGCAAGTGTGTTTGTGTTCACTTGCATGTCCATGCATTTGTTAACCCTCTAATATACTGGCCTATTTGTCTCTGATGTTCTGGTGGTAGGTCGGTAATTGTTTTATGTTACATAGTTGCCTGTTGTGCTGGAAAAGAAACCTAGAACAGAACTTTTTGAATTAACTCGTTTGACTGCATATAAATTGCATATATTTATAAAGTGATTTAATTATGCATTATAATGGTAATAAATTAAGTGACTAATAACTTTCCCTTTCATGGCATCTCTCTCCTATCCTCCCCTTTCCTAGGTTAGCTGCTAGGATGCTTGGAATTTGCCACTTTCTTCTTGCTTGCTACCCGGATGAGGATTTGTTGAACCATGCCAGTGATGCCTCTGCTGTTTCAGGACTATAGAATATTAAGATCTTCAGTATAAGCTGTTTCGGGACTTTCATCTGAGCTAAATAATGCTTTTGTGACATGTTATTTTCTTTGAGACTATACCTTATTTGGTGTGGGTTGTGATTGACCAGTCTAAACTCGAACAGATTGTTAGCAACAACTATTTTCCTAACGTCTGGGTATTGGTTTTAGAGAACGTATGCTGAAGTGTATAGGAAGAACAGCATGTTTAACTGGTCTGGGCATTTGTTCATTGTTATCACTAGAGCTCCATCAAATGCCAGCAGTGAGATTTGATGTATGGTAGCCATTGTTGGTCAAGTGCCTGTAATATCTGTACCTCAATTTTTTCATTCGTGTATAATATAACTAGTTAGCAAAGGTATGTTTTCAAACATGATGAACTGTTTGTGTTAAGTTTAGACTGGGAGAAGAGCTCAGAAACAGGCTCAAGATAAGAATGAGAGAGTTGAAGAAAAGAGCTCAAAGGAAAATATGAGAGAGTTGGAAGAAGAATTGGCTTTCTCTTTTACTTAGAGGGAATGAGGGTATTTATACAAGTTAGTTTGTACCAAATGATCAAAATACCTTTGGTCCAATTGTGAGTTACTTTTTTAAGATAAAAGATAATTATAACCTTATGACTTAAAAATGCCTTAATATTAAGTCCCATAAAAACAATCTAAAAATTTAGATGAAGGTTAAGCTAAGATGTTTGATCTATTTTGGATTTAGTCGATTTGTTAAGATTTAAGGATACATTCGAGTTTAGACTTTGAATGTTGATTTTGTTGTCTAATCTTTTAATGATGAGTGGTTTGAGGTATCGATATTATGATTCATTTGACATGGATGATTATTGGGATCTCAATAGTTTGATTTTGTTTGCTAATTATTTAATTTTGATTGGGGTTAATAGATGACTAATCTACAGGTATTTAGGTCATCTAAGTTAGTTACCAATAATCGACATGACACTTGATAGATTTTATAATGAGATTTTAAATTCATTTGTGTCGATAGAATTTATATTGAGGTGGATTTGTGTCAAGGTGATTTACACCAAAGTGAACATGTGCTAAGGTAATTTTTAGAAAAGTGAATTTGTTTCGAGGTGAATTTGGTAAATTTGAACTCTTGCAAAGATAATTTTATTAAGTGAAGTTTTATTGAAAAAAAATTTACTAGGGTGAGCTTTTTTGAAGATAACTTTTATTATAGTGAGTTTTTTTATCGAGCTAAGCAATTAGGTCAATCTAAAGTTTTTAGTTGATTTAAGCTTTTTGATCGAGCTAATCAGTTTCTAAAAAAATATGGTAAAATTGTTACTTTATCAATGAAATTTGGTTAGATCGAGCTGATTTTCTTTAGTCGAGCTATTTCTTTTGACTGAGCTAGCAAAGTTAATATTTTATTAATAAAATTTAGCTGAGTTAAGCTATTTAAGTTGAACTAATCTTTTGTGAAAGAAATTTGATAGAGTAAATACTTTATCTAAAAAATTTGGTCAAATTAAGTTTTTTCAACTATCCTAAGAGCTTTTGGTCGAATTAATTTCTTTTGGCCAAGCTAATTATTAAGGCTTTTGATCAAGTTGATTCTTTGCCAAGAAAATTCGATCATGTTGAGCTCTTTTAATTGAGGTAAGCTCTTTTGGTCAAGCTAAGCTCTTTTGGCCAATGTGGTCTAGTTAAGTTTTTATGAAGGTAAATTACTGATATGAGCTCTTTAACTGAGGTGGTTAAGCTAAATCTTTGTGAGGTTAATTTACCAAGATGAGCTTTTTAATCGAAGTGATTGAGGTAAGCTTTTTTGGCTGAGGTGAGTTTTTTTAGCTGAGGTGGCCCTTTATGAAAGCAATTTATCGAAATGAGTTCTTTAGCCGAGGTGATTGAGCTAAGCCTTTGTGAAAGTAATTTACTGAAATGAGTTTTTTGATCAAGGTGATCGAGATGAGCTCTTTTGACTAATATGAGCTCCTTCGATCGAGCTGAGCTCTTTTGGCCAAGCTGATCACTTTGATCGAGGTGGCTTAGTTAAAGTTTTATGAAGGTAATTTACTGATATGAGCTCTTTGACTGAGGTGATCGAAATGAACTCTTCTAACTGAGATGAGCTCTTTTGGTCTTGCTAAGCTCTTTTGCCTAAGTTGATCATTTTAGTCGAGGTGGCTCAGTTAAGCCTTTATGAAGGCAATTTACTAAAATGAGCTCTTTGGCCGAGGTAGCTGAGCTAAGCCTTTGTGAAAGTAATTTACTGAGATGAGCTTTTTTATCGAGATAACCAAAATGAGCTTTTTTTACAAAGGTTAGCTTTTTTGGTCGAAATGAGCTCTTTTGGCCAAGCTAATCATCTTGGTTAAAGTGGCCCAGCTAAGCTTTTATAAAGGTAATTTACTGAGATGAGCACTTTGGCTGAAGTGATCGAGTTAAGCCTTTATGAAAACATTTTGTAAATTTGAACTCTTTTGATCGAGCTGAGTCTAAGCTATTTAGTCGAGTTGTTTTATCAAATTAAACCTTTATAAAGGTATTTTGTAAATCCGAGCTCTTTTGGCAGAGCTGAGTTAGAGCTCTTAGGTTGAGTTATTTTGTCGAGTTAGGCCTTTATGAAGATATTTTGTAGATCTAAGCTCTTTTAATCAAGTTGAGTCCGAGCTTTTTGGCCTAGTTGTTTTATCGAATTAGGCCTTTATGAAAGCATTTTTTAGATCCAAGCTCTTTTGGCAAACTTAGTTTGAGTTCTTTGGCTGAGTTATTTTGTCAAATTGACCCTTTATTAAGAAATTTGATAGATCCGAGCTTTTTTATCGAGTTGAATTCAAACTTTTAAGTCGAGTTATTTTATCAAATTAGGCCTTTATAAAGGTATTTTGTAGATCCGAACTCTTTTAGTTAAGCTGAGTCTAAGCTATTTTATCAAGTTAGACCTTTATGAAGACATTTTATAAATCTAAACTCTTTTGACTGAGCTGAGTTCGAGTTATTTGGCTGAGCTATTTTGTTGAATTGGGTTTTTATGAAGGTATTTTGTAGATTCGAGCTCTTTTAGTTAAGCTGTTTTGTAGAGTTGGGCCTTTATGAAGATATTTTATAGATCTAAACTTTTTTGGTCAAGCTGAATCTAAGCTTTTCGGTCAAGTTATTTTGTCAAATTGGGCTTTTATGAAGGCATTTTGTAAATCTAAGCTCTTTTGGTCGAATTAAGTCCGAGTTCTTTGACCGAGCTATTTTGTCGAGATGAGGCTTTTTTAAAATTGATATATAGATCTAAACTCGTTGGTTGAGTTGAGTCTTAGCTCTTTTGGTTAAGCTAAGTTTGAGTTCTTTGGCCACGTTGGGTTCGAGCTTTTTTACTTTTAGTGGTGCCATTCTGAACTTAGCTAAAAAAACTCATACCTGGCATGCCATTTGTTTGTGCTAAGTTCATATTGAGAGAAAAACTCATAGATAAGCTCAAAGATAAGAATGAAAGAGATGAGAAGAAGAGCTTAAAGAAAAGTATGAGAGAGTTGGAAGAAGAATTAGCCCCCTCTTTTACTTAGAAAGTGAGGGTATTTATACAAGTTAGTTCATACTAAATGACCAAAATATCCCTGGTCCAATTGTGAGCTACTCTCTTAAGGTAAAAGATAATTATACCCTATGACCTAAAAATGCCCTTAACATGAACAATTAGTTTATATAACATTGTATGCAAAAACAAAGTTGTGAGCCATATCTTCAATGCTTGTAGTGCTTTCATATTTTCGAAATAGGCCATTACATGATAGTAAGAGCAAATTGAACTAAAATAGTATTACAACAACCAGATATTGAAAAACCTTCCTAATTTTGAACATTTTTTTTTTCAAATTCTAAAAAGACACATCTTTAAGAATCTGACAATTTTGATGTCCATTGTTTAAGGGGCAAGTTTGAGAAATTCTAGACTAATTTTTGGATGTATCAATCAAGGAAGAAACTTTCAATGTGCTTTCTTGCCTTCAAGTTACAAACCAACTTTGTACTTGAGAAATAATTATCAAATTTGGGATCATAGGGGAGTTCCTAAACTGTTAAATAAAAACAACATAAGCAAAATTGAATGAAAATAGAACAAAAAATAATAAGGAAAATAATGCAAAAAAAGAAAGAAAGAGAGTAAAGAAAGACCCCAGTACATTTAACAATAGATTTGCCAGCACGACCTAAGGATAAACTACAAAGACAACATGCATTTAAATCCCAGCTAATTCATTTGGTTAAAATAAAAGGGAATAAAGAGGGGGAGAACAAAGAAGATATACATGAAATGCAACTAACTTAAAACATCTTTCAATTTTTTGATAAAACTCCTTAGCTTGCAACAGCTCTTTTGATTCCATTTTGCATCTTCTCAATCTATACATAAAAAGGTAAGAAAATGGGAAAATATATGTTTTATAATCCCATAGCATAATGGCTTTTGCAAAAATCACAAGCATGAGCCATCTTAACATTAAGTGCATAAATTTAGTATGAGTATAGCATTGGTTTGGTTATAGCAAAAGGTTAGAACCAATAACGTTCAAACATGGTGCCCATCATTACTATGTCAAACCAAAAAATTATTAGGAATAGTCATTCAAATCCCATAAGATTTAGAATTGGTTAGATATTATTTGATGGATAATAAGACTTGCAATAGAAGAATTTTAAGAGGAAATGGAATCTTGATAAGCAAGTATATATGCTTATAAATAGATGAAGTTTTTATAGAGTTAGATATGAGAAAAAGTTGTAAGAGAGTTATAAAGTTTTATAAGATAGACACCCTATAGGACTACTGGAGATTTACATTTTATGGGTGTATATGTTTAAATATTTATGAGTAGACTAGAAAAGAGTGAGAGGGTCAACACAGGTATGGTGTATGGATGCACATGAGTATTCGTTTGTTTGAGTTAAGAATACTTCATAGATTGAGATGGTTTATAGGTATTAATTATAAGTGCTTGATTTGATGTTTGTTTGTAATTTTTTACAACTAGTGGATCTTTCTCCCATTTGTGGATGTAAATCGATTGAGTTTGTAGACACCCTAATTGGTCCGGGCCCAAGTTCATTGGGCCTGGTCTAACAAGGTCTGGGGCTCAACCTATCGGACTTGGCTCAATGGGATATAGGTGTCAGGCCTAATTGTTTATTGCTTTTTTTATGGGCTTTATTTTATTTATTTTTCTTTTCATTTTAGTTAATGATAAGATAATAAAAAAATAAAAATTTTGGTGTGTTTAGGGGTGATGGCAGAGTTACAATTGGTCTTAATTTTTTTAGGTTCAGCGATAATATAGAAATCCAATCAAAGTTGGGATTTAGAGTTAATTAGGAACTTTCCTAATTCAATTTATAAATACCCCAACTGATCAGAAACAGGAAGACATGAAAAATAGAACACAAAAAACAAAAACAAAAAAAAGAGGTGTTTGGAATGGCTAAAGCAATTTTAGAGTTTTTTTAGGAATTTTTCAAAATTTTTGGTAATTTTTTTCTGGGAATTTTCTAGAAAAATCTAGATTTCGACGAACTTTCCGGCCAAACTTGAATATTTTGGCCAAATTTTTTAATTTTCGACATATTTTTTCAATTTTCGCTTAAATATTCAACTGGAAACTAGGTTTTTTTAGAGATAGGGGAAAAGAAATAGGGGAAGAGAGAGAAGGAAGGGAGGTGTCTGAAGAAAATCGAAAGCTTTTGCCTTTTATACTTTTAAAAAACGACGTTGTTTTGTCGTTAATAAATCCCAGAGGATCTACACGTTTTATCATCAGACCAACCCGACCCGATCGTGACCCGCGTCTGACCCATGTGCCAGTCGACCCTTGGAGCCGAGCCGTTCACCTTTGAGCCATTTTTTCTCTCAAACCGAGTCGAATCTCAGCCGCAAGCCGAGCCGTTTTCATTTTTTTTTGGTATTTTTAATTTTAATTTTTTAATTATTTTTTATTTATGTGTTTGTTTATTTTAGTAGTATTTTTGCATAATTTAATTTAATAAAAAAGTAATAAAAATTTTGGGAATAAATATTAATTATCCAATGATAAAATTTATAAAAATTTCAAATGATAAATTTTTATAAAATTCTTAGGTGAGAAATTTTGTTTAAATTTGTCCCAAATGATGGAATAATTTAGATAAAGTTTTAATAACAATAATTAATATTTATTTTCAAACAAAAAAATAGAATAAACATAAAAATATAAA